TTATATTTTCATTAATTGATTTGTCTTTTTTTTTCTCACCATAGAAGGTAAACTGTTTGCAATTAAGAGCATTTCATTATGCTCATTGCTGTCTGTAATGTCCAGAGTATTCTTTGGCACGTGTTCCCAATGCCTAGAGCATGATCTAACACATAGTAACTATTCAGTATCTTCTGAGTAAATACACCAATAAAATACAAGGAAATCAAATTTGAAATTATAAACAATAATAATAGAAATAGTAAAGTGCTGAAGTATCAGCTTCATTTGTTGGAAACAAAAGCCTTTGCAATTACAGAGAAACACCAGTGAGAAGATTATAACGGAAGAAAACATCACACTTATAATAACAACTGAAAATATCAACCTCCTGGAGATAAAAAAGAAGTTTAGAGTGTATATGAAAAACTTTAAAACTTTAAAATCTTGCTGCTCTACTCAAAAGAAAACTTACTTGAAGGAATGGAAAGCCAAAATAGTCTTGGATGGGAAGGCTCAAAGTCATGATTGAATTCTTCCCAGGTTATTCTGAATTTAATATGATATTATAAATTTTGACAATATGAAAAGAAAACTAAATAAACTAATCATAAATATAATACAAAATATGCAAAAAATTCATGACAGTTCAGAAGATACAATATGAGATGAGGCTAGTTCTTCAAATATTAAAACAAGTTATAAAAAAATTAGAACCATGTGTATTGACATATAAATAGACAAATGACTAGAATAAAATAGGAAGTCCCAAAGTAAATCCAAATACATAAAATGTTTATAGTAGAAATAGATTTTCAAGTCAATAGAAGAAAAATGCACAATTCAATAAACAGTACTGGGACAATAAAATTTAGGCTTTACTTCATACCCTACATCTGTATAAATGGAAATACAAACTAGTTAAGAGAAACAATAAAATTAAAAAATAAAGAACTCAACTCCAAAACCACAAAAGAAAATATTGACAAATCCGACCATATTGGTTTAGATCCAGCGTGTCCACCAAGAGTCTCCTGTGCTCAGACGTTGGGCTTTTGGAAGGTGACTGGGTGGTGGGGCCATTATACTCATTAGTGGATTAACTCACTCCTGAGTCCACAGCTGAGTCAGCTGCTAGGAAGTGGGCCCAGCTGGAAGAGATCGGTCCCCGAGGGTGGCCTGGGTGGCTGCCTCTCCCTCCCTGGCTCGTTCCCACTCTTTCTGCTTTCTGGGCCACCACGGCGTGAGTAGCTTTCTTCTGCGCAGGCACTTCCACCAAGCTGCTTCTGCTTTGGAGCACCTGACCAGGGGTGTAACTGTGAACCAAAACATACTTCCCTTCTTTTCAGTTAGGGGTATTGGTTGTTTGTCCTGGCAACTAGACAATGACTAAGAGACTGATCATATAAAAATTCACATTTAAAACTTTCTACATAGGGAAATGTACTGGTAGAAGTAAACTGAAAGGACAAATAAAAAATTTTTATGCTAAACATAAAGGTTAATTTCTCTAATGGATAAATTAGAGAAAATTACCTAAATCTTAAGCTGGACAAAGAGAATGAACAGACAACATATAGAAAAATATTCAAATCATTTTAGACATATAAAAAGACACTAAGGGGCTGGTGAGAGAGCTCAGCAGCCCCTTAGCATCTGCTTAAGCAAGCACAGCAAACGGGACTCAGTTCCCCTGCACCACATTCCACGAATGCCCCACTGCCAGGTGTGCTGAGCTGGCCACTGAATCTGGGCATGGAGGCGCATGCCTGTGATTTCAGTGCTGAGGAGGCTGAAAACAGGAGGTTCACTAGACTCCAAGCTGTTTAGTGAGATCTTGTACCAAATACATTTTTTTTAAAGTGCTAAGCCATAAAATGAAGAAAATTATACTGAAAGAAAAATCTGAAATTTAACCTTAAATATCACTTTCAGTCATCAAATGGATTCCATCCATGTTATCAAGGTAACTAAAAAAGAGACACTGGAATACATAGCTAGTACTATAATATTAAGGTCAGTCTGTCAGTATTTATCACAGTTGAACTGTACGTAAGATCTAGTGATTTCATCCCTAGGAGATGATACATAGATAGGTAGATAG